CTTTAGGGTCAAACCACTGACCCAACATTAACGATACGAACTAGATGTTGTGTTGCGTTCTAGATTGTGGCGTGTTCTCAAAGTCAAGGTTCTCTTGCCATCTAGTTTGGCGTCTGTCGTTAACGTGACACCGTCCCGTGACTGACTTCATAATAGGAAAACAGCTCTTAATCGGAGGACTTCCTGTGTGAGTGTGTGTGTCAACAGCGAAACGCGGAGACCGCTGTCAGCACTAGGCGGATGCGGGCAACTCTGAGGGGTTGGTGCTTTTATCACCATCACGCGAGCTGATGGTGCCCGGGTTGCATAGGCTGCCAAGGTCTGGCTTTGTATTTTGCTGCTTTGATGACTGTGATTCGGAGCCATGGACTTCCCGACGAGGTGGAGTCGCGAATGAAGGACGGGCCTTCAGGGAATCCCAATCATGTGCTAGAGGCAGCGAGCCCAGAGTGGGGAAACATGCTTTCCTGACATTCTGGCACACAACTCGCCGCGGCCAACTGAAGGTCCAGCCAGTAGGAGCGAGGCGTGCTACCATTCTATTCAGTGTCAACTCGCAAATGTTTACTAAAACATTTTCAACTCTTCCAAGCAAGGCCGCGGACCAAGCGAACCGTAGTATCAACAACTGGAGGTTCCAGAACTCGGCTCTGTTTGACGAACCTGTGACATTGCAGCCGCTGAATTCACCGTTTTACAGACGCTGATCATACGCACGTGAAGATTTCGCCAAGACACAGCGCATATGAAGCATCGTCACATAATATTTTCCGAGTACTTAAATGCGCTTACTCGATCAGAAGACATGTCTCTGAACAGTTGTAATATCACAAGTATTTCGCCACCCATTCGTTATTATGAGGAACATAAATTCATCAACTTATGAAAAGCAGCTGAGGAGCTCAGGCTGAGAACAGGTGCGGATCCTGGCAACCAGGCATCACCACCTAGCAGGCATTATCGATGCCGTGAGCGATCCACAAACAGTGTCGACGTAGGACAATACGTAGGATGATGTCGTACGCGTACTCTGGGTGGACTGAAAACTGATCGGCAATTAGGTGAACAGGTCAAGGGCGCAGCCAGAACATTGCTGGGTCTGCTCAGCACTCATCAGAGGGAGCTGAAAAAACCGCCTATGAACATACAATCTTTTCACTAATCTTTGCAAGGGTCAGTAAGATGGAGATGAGTAAAACTGTCGGTACCTTCAAGGTGGTCAGACTTGTGCAAAGGCATGATTGAAGCAATCTTCCAAGAGGTCGGAAAGGCCCGCGAAATGATGGATCTATTTAGCAAATGTAGCACGTAGGGCCCGAGCAAAGCGGATCACTGGCGGAGGGCATGCAATAGTACGCCGTGGCCAGTCGCGCACGGGTTGAGAGAACTTGAGAGAGCTTGAGGGAGAGAGGGACAGAGAGAGAGACAGAGAAAGACAGAGAGAGAGAGGGAGAGAGAGAGGGAGAGAGAGGGAGCGAGAGAGAGAGAGAGAGAGAGAGAGAGAGAGAGAGAGAGAGAGAGAGAGAGAGAGAGAGAGAGAAGAGAGAGAGAGAGAGAGAGAGAGAGAGAGAGAGAGAGAGAGAGAGAGAGAGAGAGAGAGAGAACATAAATGGGATGCAGGAACGACCTGGAGCTATTTATCACATTTTCTAAGTCCCCACTGCTCGTTGTTGTTCACCGCTCACCTTTGCAGCCCCATCTTTGTATGAACGGTGCCACCATCGTGCCACTCTGGCACATGTATCACACGAATGCAAAGCTGCCAGTCAGCCGTGGATACAGACGTTTGGGTTGGATTGTACTGCAGATTGCCACCATGCTGATTTTGCAGCGCCCAGGACATTTCGGAAATACGTGGAGGGCTTTCGAAGTGATGTGAGAAGGCCGGGGCCTGTCCCTACATCACAATGCCGCTGAGTGCGCTTCCAGCATTGCACATTTAACTCCTTTGAACACGTTTGACCGTGGGTAAGTCCATATTACAAGCTAAAAAGCATTTGCAGATCGCATAAACTTTTCACCACAGCCTATCGTGCATCTTGCACGTCACGCCACTCAACACAATCCTGAATTCCGTGCATTTACATGTTCGAACTGTTGTCAAGTACGTTGGTGCTATATAGAGCCGCCTGATGAGCTTGAATTTACTCTTGCGCTCGCTTTTGTTGTATTTTCCGGAAAACCGGCTGTTCCGTCACTTGTCGGATATGACTCGGCAAGGGCAGTTGAATACGCAGTAATTGGTTATTGAACTGCGATAGATAAGTCAGATGGAGGCAATTTCAATGGAAATCAATGTAAGCTGGTAAATCCCACTCAGAAACCGTTGTGCCACGTGAGTCACCGTCAGCATTCGACACGTGATCGATGACGTCACATGTCACGAAAAGTGGCTTCAAAATCACCAACATGGTGTCTCTGATTTCGTCGTGCTCATTATCATTAAAAAATATTCATGTCTAACACCAATTTAAAACAGCACCTTCTTGCGTTTCAGAGACAGTCCGGCCAGAAGGGCCGAAAGTGAAAATTTAGGTCATGTGAGGGTATGCCGGGGTAGTGCCCGTGCAGGGTCAAGGGCATGCCAGAGCAGTCAGGTTACCCCACTGGATCCATTCTTCCGTTCTCCTGATTCACCTGTCATTGCGAGCAATGGCCGTAACAAATCACGTTGGATGTAGGTTAACCTCACGTGACGTCTGATGGTGGTCGGCTGTGATGCCGTGTTGTTTAACTGACTGAATGGCAGACGGATAAATTTTGTCGGTGAATGACATGCTAACCACTGCGCATCTGGGGAAACCAGAGGTATGGGGTTCGATTCCTCGTGGTGTCCGTCCTTCTTTGCCAGCGTGAGAGGCCGGTAACGCCATATAGCCTCAGCAGCTGAGTGCGTCGTAAGACCCCAGTGACGACGATGGTCGACAAATGACTTGAATTTGATGAAAGACGGAAACACATATGCCTACACTGTCGAAGGCAACAATTGCCTTGCACATGGCTAAATGACTGGCTGACAAAGAATTGCGCAAATGACTTGTGCATGACATCATTATAACATCTTGTGGATGGTTGACTCTCAAACATGCAAATCATCAAAACAAACATAGTATGCATGCATCCGGCCGATTCATTCCGACTCTCTATTTAAGCGATCAACAAGAGCACAGCGTAATTACGATTTTGTGTCATTTGCTGCTTCTAAGAGCTGAAAAGCTGCCTGGATTCATTGGAAGACGAGGATATTCTACAGTGATAACAGGTAGCCCGACGTCCGTGATGGGAGCAGCTGATAAATACTTCTTGAAAAAACAACCAAATTTCTTAATAATTCGGTTTCTATACAATGGAGACCGTTGTTATTTCCTTGTCCGTTATCATCACCGTTGACATTGTCACAAGCCTAGCATGTTCCAAGTAAATATCTTCCCTCCCTGCACATTTAAGATTTATAAAAGACCAGTATCCCGACATAGACTTTGATGGCCTACAACCCACAACACATTTCTATCCAAAATAACCAGACACATCCATGATACCTACAAAACATTTCTGCTGTAAGCCTAAGGCTGGAAAAATATTTGAATACACGTGTCACGACACTTAATTCACTCCTGTTAAAGTTCAACATTACTTGACTACACTTGACTGGCCTTCCCTGGGAGCTTCAATCTGCTGTAATTTATCTGACCGCTCCATACTGCACAAACGATTTGGATACTTGAGCGCACCTGAAATGCTTTCCAATGTAAGCCGCTAGGTCTGAAAGCGAGGCAGGAGGGCAGAACTAGCAAAAGAGACATCATCTCATTTAGTTCATTTCATTCATTCCATTAAGAACACATTAACGTGGTGGTTGTTTTACGCCTAATCGGGCAATAGCAACACACTCCGCGCGGGAATACACACCTAACCAGAGATGAAATCAGCTACAGTCAATGAGTTATTCATTCAAAATATTTAGGAATGGGCTTCCTGATGGAGCGTGGACGGGCGCCGCGGACAACCGTTCCATACGGAGGGCGACGCGGTACGGGAAATGCCGCTGGGTGGAGGTCTGTCGGATACGCGCCAGTGTTTGTAGCAGACGCCAGCTTAACAGCCCGAGTTTGACATTTGAAACACTCGGCGCAAGTCGTAAATTAAGGATGCGATGCACTTGGGGATTCGGGGGGCGTGGGGTGCCCCGTGCGCATTCAAGTGGTGCACACGATCCGCGATACTATGCTAACCAACTGTCTTCAAAACGAAAAAAAAAGATACTAACCTGGCTGCTAGCTAAACAAAATGCGTCGTTCATAGAAACAGCGTTACACTGTTATCTTTCGTGCAACAGAAAACGAAGCATTCGTGTGTACGCATGTCCCATCCGTCAACTTTTGTCAGGCTGCCGCAAGCAAACGACGAGAGTTACAGCCCCGATTGTCTCATGCCATATCAAGCTTGTGCGAACTTTGGCCATTGTAAAGTTGGGAGTACATGCAACTTCCGAGATGCCCGCGAGGGGTGCGGTATAGATAGCAGTCATCATTGTGGCAGCAGCACGTTCGATAATTGAATTTCAGGATTTCAAGTGCTTTCGGATTTTCAACTATTGTTTAGTTATATTTCTTCTAAATCAGGTCATTCATTATCAGTCATTCAATCCTCATCAGTCATTTATTAACCATAACTCATTCTTCTACATGCAGCATGTTTGCAAATCGAAGTATACCATTAGCAACGCTGAACAACAAGACAGAGGGAACATAAACTTGAACCGGTCAAGAGACGACTATGAACGGAAACATACGGATTGCGAAAGCAGTTGCTAAGGCAACGGATGGATCTGTCGCCATCCCGCCATCATCGCAGCTTTACGTGTTGTATGCCACTTCCGTTCAGCGGTGGAAGAGAAGTACGTGTTGTTGTGGTGTCGGCGTCTGGTCTGGTGTCGTGTAACTGTTTATTCCGCGCGTGGAATGGGTGTTTTTAATTGGGTGACAGAATGCGTCAACCGGATGAAGCAAGGGCACCGCGACAGGTGGCTGCAGCCGCTCAACGACACCTTGTGCTCGCATGCCGAGGAGGAGCGTCTGGTGGGGCCGGTGAGAAACACAACCCAGCACCGTTATAAGCGGGTACAGAAATTGGCATTTGTAAAACCAATTCAGATTGCAATTAGAGAGCCAGGTGCCCCGGCACATGGCTAGGCTGCAATTATAAACAGATAAAAGTGAGCACTCAGATGGAACAGATGAAGAATGTTCTGATGAATATGTTCTGGAGATGGCACGCTGCAGCAGCGATTAACACGCGCCCGGATAGGGTTCAGTTCGCCTCCTCTCCCCAGAAATTTCCGGATTAGTTTTCAAAAGGCGCGGCCTAGCCGCTCCAAATTTTGCATAGCTGTAGACAATTGAATAGCGAATCATTTGGTATCATAAATTTAGATGTACCTTGTAAGGCACTGAACTAAGGCAGGCCAAAGTCAGGCTATGGATTTAGCGAAGTCAGTTTCTAGGAATCGCTCAATCTGATACAATAAGGGAGTGTTAAACGAAGCCGTACATCTCTGAGATACGTTCGCAGGCAACACAACAATTGAATGATCAGATCCATTGACCTGGGGTGAGGTGTGAAGGCCAGACCAAGGTCAAGACCAACCTGCTTTATTACTCTAGGGCTTACCGTATGGGATAGTTTCCGGTGCTCATTTCGAGTCTATTGATAATGGGAACCGCGTTGTGCATCTTCCATGGACTTTTTCAAGGTCAGAATAAATAACTGAACCAATATGACACAGGTTAACATGTTGCTTTAGGAACATACTCCTTAGCGCAATCTTTGCCGCTTGTTCATATGTAAAATTCAAAGCAGGGTTGCATGATTTGGTCACTACGACCTTCTTAAAGTCAAACAAGATCAATGACCTTAAATCAGCACACGAAATTCTGCTTAGAACAGGCATCTAGTTTCTAGCAGCACTTTGGAGACCAGCTGAGAGCTGGACTTTGTTTAACCTCATTTTCCCCGGAGGTAATGACCTAGGAAGCTCAAATTTTTAACTAAGTGAGTCCACGTACAGGTCAACACACCCTGTAAATTGGATGTCAATAGCTTTCTCAGTTTTTGAGCGTAGTTCTCAGTGTGGGATCAAATTAACCCCCTACCCAAGCCAGGGTATCCAACCGGCCACCCGGATGCGTGTTTATGTCCACCAAGATTTGTCTTACCACTATCACAGTCAGGTTTTTAAGGTCACAGACTCCGGGTGCGATCGGTGCATGTCACAAGCCTCAGTGCGGGGATAGCCAATCTGCAGATGCTTGTGTTGCATCTCCGAATGGGCGCAGTCTGCCCTCAGGTCAGCCACCGCGCGCCCTCGCGGCCGACAAGCGGTGCCGAAGAGGAGCTGCCACTTCCATCAGGTCTCACCGGCGTTCAGAGTGGCTCTAGCTTACTGCCGGGAGAGGGCGCGGTCATTATTTTTGGTGTGCGTCACACTGATCCGAGGGGCGGAGTAGCAGAGGGGAGGAAGTGTGGGGGGGGGGGGGGGGGGAAGGGAGAGACGCAGCAGTTCCCCCCCCCCCCCCCGTCTGCAGGCAGGGTGTCAAGAATGTGTTTTGCCCATTCAAAATTTTGGAAGGCCTCATTTGCTCAAAACTGGAGGTTTTGCACCTCGGCATAACTAACCAAAATACAGATCAAGGAGAGCCATTACTGAACTACAAAACACCAGGTCGAACTCAGGAGATGGTATTTTGCATGCAGAAGCGTTTTTGAGACCACATCTGGTAATTCATACTTAGATCGAAAACAGTGGCGCAGACAGGAGGGACACAGGGAGCACATGTCCCCTAAGGTCCCGAGGGGCCCGAAGAGCCGCTCGGAACCTACGATGAAGGGTCCAATTTGAGGACCCTAAGGCCTGGCCGGAGTTGGTATCAAGGGTTCCTCAATGCCGGTCAGGTACCACCAATGTCGAACAGTCGGCTCTGTGTCGGTCTGAGCCCTGGGGTCCCACTTCCAAAGCAGGGACAGGACAGGGTCCGCGCTCCCCAGTGGTCGGAACCCCGTAACGATGAGAGGCCACTGTGCCGGTAGGACACCTAAGCACTTAAAAGGGCGTCCTGTGTCGCCAATCAGCCCCCAGATTGCCAGGGGAACATTTGCTGAACAGGGACAATGACGGCACGCCAAATGTCAGAGGGTCTCTTGCGTTCGTCATGGCCATCTGAAAATAAAATAAGATATGAGGGCTTATGATGCAAGTCCACAACGAGACCATGAGAGGGCCCTGTGTCAGACAGGGCCCCAGTACGGGCCCCAAACGGGATCTGTCTACTCGATTTCCACCAACGGCCCGTTACGCCGAACTGGGACATTTGTGCCAATTATTGGCTAACCTCCGGAGATAATGGTCGTTGTTCTGTCGGTGAAGGATTCTTGTGGCGACACAGGGTCAACTTCCGGGTCAGAGGACCCCCCGCGAGGACCAAGACATGATGCATCCCTTTAAGGATCTCCGGATCGACCAGGGACTCGCCTCCATGTCGCTGGAGTAGCAGCCGGTAGCCGGTAGGCACCCTGCGCTGGGACGGAAGGCCGTCAGGTCCTCAGCCGTACACGATAATGTGCTCCCTAGCATCTACCCACGTTCGTCTGAGAGCGTCCATATTTCTTGCAGGAAACGTATATTGAAGCAGATTACGTAAAACGGGCTTGAGCCTGTGCGCTAGCAGCTTTAGGAGCAATAATAACAGTGACGGTGGCTGCAGTTTCAGTAAAACCGGACACCGCTAGCCGCAGAAGATAATTATGATCATCATAATTATCATAATTATATAATTAACAGAAGATAATTAGAATAAAAGGGGCGTCAGGTGGCGGGCGCCCGCGCAAAATTAAGAAAATTTCTCTGAGTCGATTCGCACCGCTCAAAGACTAGGCTGGGGCGTACATTTCATCATTGTAACTTTGAAGGCGTCCTCTGAACAGATTACCAGCTACAGCAACACAAAAATAGATATCGTGTGTACGTAAATATATGAAATAAAGGTAAACTTTGACTTTTTCAAACTCCCAGATTCCAGCACCAAAATTAAACAGGTGAAATAAGCTCAAAGACTGCTTTTAAACGTATGGATTCATGTCATGAAATTTACAAAGGTGCTTCTTTCGGACACGTAATCATCTTCGTCCGTCCGTCGCCTGCCGGTTCGTGTTAGCCGCTGTGGACGACGCCACGTGACCTAAGGAGTTTTTCATCACTAGGCCTCGGGATTTGTTTCTTTGACAAGCGGGCACATCTGATCGGAACTATCCTGCGTAATTGAAGATAGAACATTCGCAGGCGAAGATGGGTTGGGCAAGTTAGTACAAATTATTGGCCTCACATTTATCTACAATATATATGTATCTCTCGTTGCCATCTTTCTCAGATCTTTCAATATCTCTGCAGAGGCCAGGCAAAAATATGACAAGGCTCTTGGGTTCTGTTGCTTCAGATGGAGCCCACTGAACCATTGTGCGATGCATAGCGCTGGCATTTTGTAAAAGGCAGTTGTTTAAGGCCGCTTCATCCAGTGTATTAACCTCAAAATACATATAGAATTCCATCCTCCGGTACCATCTGATTTTTGTTCCATCTAATAAAGGTAAAATGAACATGCAAGAAAAAAAGCAGGCTCCCTCGAAATCCAGTGGGCCATATTCGTTGTCTTCGGGGCTTGGAGGGCAAAATTTGAATATCAGGCCCTTCCTTCAACCCTGTTCTCCTCACCATACCTAGGCTCTGGCTATGTCCCTGGTCAGAAGGTCCTATTCGGTGTTAAGGAGACACTTTTGCTGGCCGTAAGACCCGTTATCAACTTGGTGGCCCCTATTCTAGAACAGGAGGTCCTTCCATGCATCAGATAACCTCAGTCCTGGATCTGGATGCCTTGTTTTGGTATAATGAGGCCCTTTGCTAGATTCGAACGCCCCGTTCTCGATTGTAAGGATCTCGCACGAGCCTTTATGCACGAGACAGTTTTTTCTGGAACAGGTGACCTGCGCTGGACAAGGGGTCATTAGCTGGATTAAAAGGCCTGAATTATTGCATCAAATGACCGCCTCTATTCTATTTTTTTAATGGTCAACATCTATCTGCATGAAGGTTGACGCAACAATATGGTAAGAGATCACGTGAAACTGATGTCTCTCGCCCTCTTGAATATGACGCTGCCCATGAGGTCCCCTGTGGGGAGCCTTCATTCGTCCACGAGACCCCATGGAAAATCCTGTCCTCTCCCATAACTCAAATCCTTTGCGCCTACGCCGCCCCTGCCTTGATCCCGTCCGGAGCGAGCGCTGCAACGCCGTTGCACCCTCGACTGTCCACCAGCTCAGTGGTCACACCCACACAGAAATTAATGACTATGTTTCGCTGCAAACAGCTGCACTAGCAATGAGCACCTGGTTGTTGGCTCGAAATAAATAATTGTCATTATTTAAAAGTGCTGGATCTGGATCATCTGGATCATCATTTAAAAGTGCAAGTAGTAATGTATTTATGATGACTGCATATCGTGTAATGTTTTGTGTCTATTTCACTGGTGCGATTTTTAGATTGATGATAAGAACGGATTGGTCTTTACAGCACCGCGAAGTGGTCCCGGAGTCTGGTGGTGGAACTGGAAGAGTAAAAGAAGATCTAGATTTTCCGCGCTTTTATGACTGTTTCTTTGTCTAGAGGAAAACCACGAGGCAGAAAAGATACGCCCAGTCTAATTTTCGAAAGGAACGAACTGTTGTTGAAGGACCTTCGGAACCATTACTTCACGATGGTCGTTCTCGTGCGCACGGCGCCCGCTGTCTGGTGTTACTTGCAATGACGAACGCCGTTCAGTTTTACGGAAACTGAACCCCCGACTACAGCTGTCCTTGCTCCCGGGATTTTGGGCGTGCACACTCAAACCTTTTGATGTGTTTTTTCGCCAATCGTTTTTGCAAAATAATGAACGCTCTCAGGTGACAATGGTATGGCTTTGCTAAGCTCATTTCGATCCACTCTATTCAACACTAATGAGACCCCTCATATTTTTCCGGCAAGGTTTTTCCTCAA